GTATCCGAAAGTTAATACAGATAGATTCAAGAACTCTTTCATTAATCGCTTAATTTTTAAATACAATTTAGCTATGTGAGTTTATAATTTAGATATATATATACTTTTACTCAAATATTGTAACATAAGATATGTATTTTTTATCTTGTGAGGAAATAAAGACTACTATAAGACTACTATAGATTGGTATTTGAAATTGTCGTGTTCCAGAAAGGAAAAACCGGTGAAGCGTATCCGTAATGAAAAACATTTCTTTATCTTTTATTTCTGGGTTTGATCAATGTTCTTATTGCTAGCCACCAATTGATTTAGGGTTAAAATTACAGAAACAATGTGGCTGAACATGAGGCCCATAGTTACATGATCAACGTTTCTTTATATCCATATTTCTTGAACATTCACTGGATTTTCACTGTCACCTAATTTTAAGTGCGTTAACCGCGAACGTCGCCTGCTTTCAGCCGTTTGTGCTGATGCTAAAACGAAAGTATTTGTAGGGTGGAGCCCTGCCGTTCCCCATTTCTGTAAACGTTATTCTTCATTTAAGTGATTTGATTGACTTTAAAGTGCGTAAAGTAAACGAGTGAATAACTTTATAAGCGCGGAGTAACTATTTCCGCAGACTCAGGTAGCAAGTACAGTGCCTATATTTTGTTTTCACTCTTCCTGCAGAATGCGTTAAATCGAAGGACAGTAGAAATCCAGCAATGTACGGTATTGAAAAGACAGGGAGATGCCTACCTTACGAGAAGATTTGACGTGGACAATCTATCAGTAGGGCAGTGGCAGCGTCTATTAAAGTCTCAGTTACAATGGACTATCCATCTGGCTCAAACGCCACTTTAACATAACCTAATTCCTATTGAAAAGAATAATCCCTGAGATGAAACTTTCCCCTTGGGTACCAAAAAAGGAGGTTTTTTGTATTCTGACGTGGTTCAAACTTTTAAATCTCCTGTTCTTTCACTTTCTAAAACAATGTGAACCAATTTTTAAACTATGACTTCATTTACATGTACGAGATGTCGAAAAACAAATCAAGCCTAACTCTACTTTAAAGGAGTAGTCAATGATATAACAAGTTTAAAGTAGAAATAAAAAGAAAAGAAAACGAATTCTGTAAGCCACGTCCACTAATTTTCGCTTTTAATATAAGCGTGTGTTTATTTTAGTATTGTTGTCAGTGTCGATATACATTTTCGGTCTAAAATGCCTTGTCCATCTTACGCTGAGCGAGATGAAGGCAGACTCGATCAACGAGAGGTCGATCCACAAAAACAAAACATTACAAATTGAATACAAGAAACTCACCAAGAACTGCGCTATTAATTTTCGTCAGAACTTCACTGAAGGAATATTTTCTGTTAGTGGAATTTCATTTCGTCTGTGGGTACATTAGTAATTTGCTATTTATACACTAGGTTTCCCGGCGCAATTTTTCCGTGTTCTCTAAGCACAGGAAGTCCCAAAATTTAGCGATTACTAACAACAAGGAAATATTTCCTAGAACATTTGTCTCATATAAATACGCGTTTGTTGGTCTTTGCTTTATCGAAAAAAATTAAAAAACAAGAAAGTGGATGAACAAATTGAAACCAAATGCGAGTGTAAGCCACGAACCTGTAATTGATAGATCCGCAAGGCATAACTACGTCATTTGCCCTTGTAATACTTAGTTAAGATCCGGTCAGTCAATAGCTTCACAATATGAACAAATATGCACAGTAGGCAATACTGGAAAAATGCTGAAGTCAGTGCTTAAGCTTAAATAGTTCCAATTTAATCCGTTTCAGAGGCTGGGAGCCTGATGCCATACCACTGGCAATGAAGCGAGATGTTGACTTGTTTACGTTATGTTACTTTGTCTAATTTCAAAGATTGCATATTTGTGAAGTTCGCTCGCATTCAACTTGGTTAAAATTCGGAAGCTGATAATCAAATCATGAAGAGCCTGAAAAAAAAGGGAATGCGCTTCTCGTAGAGCGTCAAAATATTGCAATCGTAATTTTTTTTCATATGACGAGCCATTTTTTTAATCATTTCTTAGAGTAAAGTGTTCACCACAGAAAATAATGAAAATTGGAATTAAAGCATCACTGTCACGATGAAGCAGTCGTTAAAAATTAATTTCAGTTTGTCTTAGAGCCAACACTCGAAGTTCTTCCCTCTCATTGATCTTTGCCGCAGTCATTAATGTAGATATACCAATTTTTGAACGCATTTTTCAATCATTTAGTCTGTAGCTGACTTCCGTGATCAGGTTCTATTATGATATTTGCTCCACTGATAATTTTAGTATCATCATATCAAGTATTGCACTGGTGGCCAGTATTCATTTTGAGTATTAAAGCACGCATTTTTCTGTTTATATCTTTAAAGAGCCGTATTTCAAGCTCATTTGAGCATTTTTTGAGGGTGGGGTGGCTCAACCCGCTTCACCAGTTGCGATGGGGCCATTAATCTCTTATTAGTTAACCCTTTAATCCCAAAACGTCAATACAAACTCGTCTTACCGTCTGCCAATCATTTTCTTACGATTTTTGCTCTCCAAACCTGATTTTAAATCAGGCAATATGCCATTGCATTGTCTTTTTACGGACCGCGTCACTATTCATCTCCTGGGGAGGACAGGAAGGAAAGGGGGGGGGGGGAAATGCTTGTGTTCGTGTCACAATAAGATTTACCTGATCCTTTCTTAAGGCTCTTAAGTGTTCTTATGGCCATGATGACCCCCTCCCCCTCATTGGCAGTCACGTTTCTATAGTACTGTAGTATTTGTAGGTCACGTAATGTAAGATGATGCTATACCTGAAGAATACAGTTGAGTTAATGTCTACCGTGGACTACTACACGTGTTTTCTGTTTGTCCTTTTATTTCGCTTCTAATATCCTTCAGGATACAAAAAGTACCCCTTAAAATTCTGTTAGAGACGAATCGAATGACCTCCCCCATTCCTCCTTAAAACCATGTGGCCCCCCTAATATTTCGTTCCCCGGCGATAATTAATGACTGGTCCTTTATCATCATCTTTACGCTTACAAATGTATTGATTTTATGGGGAGAAATTCTCCTTTTGTCACTCCTGGGGAGTAGAAGGGTTTACCCGTCCAACACTAGTAAGAAGATGGGAACCTTACGCGTTTGGCTGGCAGGGCTGGCACAGCCGGTGCGCTGCACTAGTGAGGAAAATTGTCGCTAAATTCTAAGTGCGTCTCGACCGAAATGGACTCCACTCAGTCATACCAGTTCTAATCGAGAAATTAGTCAGTTTATGTCACTCAGTGAAAGCTTCCTTTGTGTTTGTTTCATTTAGGCACGACAGCGTGTATCAGTATCGGAAATAGAGTCTGCAACGTCCATACCGTAACATATTGAGGTAGAGGAGCTAAGGTAGTGCTGATAAAAACGCATCCCGAATGTACCCTCGGTTTCCAAAGGCTCCATGTACAGTTTTCAGTTTTCCTTTTTTTTCTCATTGGCAACTATGATAACCTTGGTTCTGGTCTTACAAGACCCAATTGAAAAGCGCTTCACGAGACAACAGCCGGTTACTAAAAATGTGAAAGCATAGTAGGTATTACGGTAACTGTGATCGTCTTTTACGCTTGGATGCATACAAACGCTTCTTACTTTCATTCAAGCTTTCAAGATTTATTATCTTGTTATTAAACTATGTTTAAGGACTATTCATTTTTATAGTCCAGGGAGGGGTAGATTTGGGGGAGGGGGGGCAGATTACAAGGTTCTCGGGGGAGACCGAGGGGGTTTAGTCGTCGTCAATTAACTGCCAGAGAAGGCGGGGGGCAGGGAGCAGAATCATGAGAATATTACAGAGCCTTATGGGAGGATCAGGTCAATTTTATCTTAGCACAATCAAAATCATCCAACCCTCTAGGTGATAAAATATATAATAGACGGTCTTCAATGATATGCTCTTTCACAGAAGGTACAAACAG